TTTGCTTAGCATGGCCTGCGCCACCGGCTCCAGTTGCTTTGCATCATATGTGCGGTAGACTTTCACCAAAAAGGCGTAATGAGTCACCAATACATTTAACAATTAGAAATCAATACGAGCAGGTATGTCCCAAAAATTTGGTACATATACCCATGGGTAAGTTGGTTAATTGAGGCCACTTCACCCATACCCAACCCATGAGTCTGGGTATGGGTAATTACCCACCGAGTCTGAGTCTGGGTACCACCTCTAGTTCACGATGTGCTCGGTCCTATGAGATGCTTCTACGGTGGGCAAGAAAGGTCAATACCCTCAAGAATAGTCAGGCGAGTTTGGCGGTATTGATGTTTGCCTTTCCTACCAATTAGAGGTCTTGGCAGCCAGTCGAGGTCACATCCAGCCTTCCCACTTTACATTTTGCCACTGTGCACTTGCGTCAAGCGCAGCCCTCGACGATGATGATTGTTACCGCGCTGATTGCATGGTCAGCTGCGAGCGTGGCCCTCCGCGATGCGTGAGGATGCCATGCCCAGCACCTACGACTATACTACATCAGGTATTACATCCACTGTAGCCTCAGTCTCAAACGCGGCCACGAATTACTCTGACGACAAGCTCGCAGAGTGAAACACGCCGATCGAGGTGAGCGAGGTCAGCGAGATGATGCAATATGCCGGCATACTGACGGAATTTCAACCTCACATGTTCACTAACCATCCCCAATACAAGAGGCTTGAAAAGCTTAAATTGATTAATAATATCAAGAAATCGTTTACTGATTTAACCGCCAGCGCTGACATTTTCAAAGGACTACACATTACCAATTGGATGAAATATGTACGCGATTTGTACGTGGATTCACCGGAAGTGGCAACTAAGGCGATGTTCAAGTTATTGACACGTCATTTTACGAACGATCATGCTCTTGCCAGTGCTTTGGTTCCGGGAATGAACGTACCGAGAAAAAAGACGTCGTTTCAAAACTGCTTAACATACAGGTCGAGATGTGGTTAAAGGGCAACAAAGATGAGGAAGCAGTATTTAAGCTTTTGAAGCTCGACGAAACAAATGACAACGTTTTGAACAGTCCAGTCTTTTCCCAGTGGGTCGATTTTGTCGAGAAACGATCCAATTCTCAGGAAGAGGCATACGATATGATGCTTGACCGACTTTCATCAGATTTTAAGAGTAAGAATGCTCTTGTGGGTGCTCTTGGTGGCGGAAAAGTACTTATACGAAAGCAATTGCCCATGCATTACTACACTTCCAGTACAAGAAGTGGGTAGAAGAAACGAAAAATGCGGATGACGTTTTCAGCATTTTAGAGCTCAGCCCGACGGAACAAGACCTATTCAAAAACCCGGCCTTTTCTGGGTGGGTCGGTTTCGTTAAATCAACATCCTCGAATGATCTGAAAGCAATTGAGACGATGCTTTCCACCCTAAAACTTGATGGTAAGAAGGGAACAAAAAAAGAGATCAAGAAATTGGAATCCGTCACTCAACGACTGAAAAAAGCCTTGATAAAAAAATCGCCGGAACCTCCAAAACGGCAGAACAATTTTGACTTAAACGAGCCGCCGGCGAAAAGGCAGAAAGAGTTCGATTCGACCTGAATGGACTTTGCCGGAATTAATTTGAGCCTGCGCCTTTGACAGCAGATAAGTTTTGATAGCCCGATCTTACCAAGGCTACGGAAATCTAATGTGACTATTTTTTTGGAATAATGAAAGGATTTGAAGGACATAGTCAACATTAGGCTAATAAAAATATTCGATTGACTTTTAAGAACATTAACAATTTTTGCAATCAATCTCGTTTGTAATGGAAATGCTTTGCCACTTTAATCGGCTTTTTTGGCACATAGGTATTAATCACCCTCTTTTTCCAAAGAACGCCGGCAACACAATATTTCTATCATTATATTATATATGTGCTAGCAAACCTCTTGACCATGCGTAAATATAATCGAGATGTCAAACTGACATGACGCGGATTGTATAAAAGTAGAAAAATACCTTAAGAAGAGTGTGGGACTAAATAACATTAACAATACTGTTTCCAAAAGGTTCCTATCTTGACGATATCAAACGCGTGTTATTAGGAAGTGGCAAAGAAAAGTGATAAGCCTACCTGATTGTGTGCTACTAAAAAAGCCGCGCGCTAACACTATGTACGCATATCATGCATGTACTGGTGGACAATTGAATTAGTTGTGAAATTTTTTTCTTGGATATTTAAGACGAAGAGGTGTCAAGTGTATTCATCAGGACTATTATTGTAGACGGGCACTTCAAAGTAGATGCCACGTAGTTCGCAAACACACACCTTCGAGCAGCGTGAGGAAGCGATTAGACTGTCTTACCTCCGCGTGCGGTGGTGGGGGTCTTGGTCGGCCGAAGCGCTGTACTAACCGTTACCGGTCGCCTTAAGACAACAGCGAAACGAACTTTAAAACAACACCTAACTACGTCGCGAAAGCTGTTTCCAGTCTTCCTGCGCGCAGTGAGTTTGATGTGGTAAATTTAAGACTGACTTATAGTTAATCGAATAATATATAAATATAACTCTATCTATTAATTAATTTAATGTAAAGATCGGATACGCGTCTCTTTAGAAGCGAGTCCTTACGTGCGAGCTTATGTATATTTAAGCTCGCTGATGACGTACGTTTAAAGCATCACCATGACGCCTAGTCCCAACTGGCGTCATCCCGTCAAATGTAATATCCATCCATGGATATCACATTCACGAGGGTGGGTCACAATGATGTGCCACACCCAATTGGCAGGCCTAAGGTACCTCGTACCCATTTAGGCCTGCCCGTCAAGTATTCGACACTTAACGAACCGTGTAACTTTTAGCCCGTTACACCACCCCCCCTCCTCTTTAAGACGATTTTTACAATTTTGTAAAACATCGAAAACGAGACGATGCCACCGAAACGTGGTTAAGCTGAAGGGTCGCCTAAAAGGCGCCCATGCAGACCATCACGAAGCACACGAGCCGCGATAACTCGCAGCCGTCGCTAAGTGTCTCTGTAACAATGCCGACATCTAATGTCAGGTTGTCAGCAGAAAACACTGGTCCATTCCACTGTTTTTCGGATGAAAATCTGTCTCTTATTGCAAACTACATCAAGAACAAGCCACTGCCGTCACCCCAAAGTGGCGATGAGCAAATTGCATTGATGGGACATATATCCTTATCACTAGAGGCACCCAACCTTCAGGAGGCTTCCATGCTTCCTGACAGCTAGGGTCCTGCCTCGTCGTCTGCGCCAATGAGCGCAGCGACTACAACTGAGCGCGCTGCTTCAGACAAAACAGCCGCGACTCAACAGCAGGTCGGAGATTCGAATTGTCCACTTCTGTTAGCCCTACTTCTGACGCCTTGACAATCCATAATGGAGAGTCAGACTCAGGCGAGGGTGAGCTAAAAGCTTCTTCGACTTCACAGTCGGTTTAACTAGCACGCCGTCGCGAGGGCAGCTACATGAGTGGTGGCTTTCCACCAATGCCACCGCCATCCGAGTGGTCACACTCGAGTGGTAATAGTGCGACGCTTCTAAAGCGTGCCACTATTGACGCTGATAACCTCTTTAGCCTCTTTCCATCATGGAAACGGCAGAGCAAAGCACGTGGTCGTGCTTTCCTATCCCGTCGTGTTGCGTTCGAACATAACAATCGTCAAATACGAGGCAGAGATTCTGCGCCGTGTTAAACCGCATGTAGATGCAGTGACACAGCGGTAACAGCGAATAAGCTTCGCTATGACGCGTGCAAGGGAATATTGGGTGATAACATACCCCAACTCCTTCTCGCTACTGTGGTAAAGTCGATTAGGAATTTTGGCTAAGTCCATGTATTAATTTTATCGATAAATCCGGAGCCGAATTATCGAGACTTTTCTAGCCAACGGTTGGATCCCTTTCCCATAATGGCTGGATCCCTTTCCTATAACAGTTGGACCCCTTTCCTATAACGGTTGGATCCCTTTCTCATAACGGTTGAATCCCTGTCCCGCTTACGGTTGGACCCCTTTCCCATGACGATTGGATCCTTTTCCCATAACGGTTGGACCCCTTTCCCGCTAACGGTCGGCTCCCTGTCCACCACTAAGTCACTTACTAAAATGACTTATTGGGTGTGGTGGAGTCGATCGTAATTTATGGATGATCGAATGGAAAAGTACCGTTGATCGTGGCATGGATCATATTTCCATGTTATATTGGATTATCATGGAATAGATCACCGCTTGGATATACTTGGTTCCAGTATCGGTTGATCCAACTGGATGTATTAAAATTGCACGGATTTTACTTGAATGCGGAATATTGGAATTTCTCAAAGTGTGGATCGCGGCCTCAATTAATTGTAATGGACAAATCATGATCCGAGATACATATCGTATCGCTATCGAGTTTGGATAGCACCGCGATCCAAGTCTGGATCGCACTGCAATCTTAGTATTCAGGTGGATCCGCGATCCGTGATTCTGTTATTTCACTGTGGAGGAGCGAGTAAACAATTTTCATAAATTGTAGATCGCGATCCAAGTTATGTGGATCACACATCAAGGATCGATCCCGAAACATTGTGCAGAAAACGCGATCCAACTTGGAAAACGCGATCCGACTCAGAATGGCGATCCGACTCAGAACCGCGATCCAAAGCTGAGCGCGATCCGACTTAGAATCGCGATCCGACTCAAAACCGCGATCCAAAGCTGAGCGCGATCCGACTCAGAATCGCGATCCGACTCAGAACCGCGATCCAAAGCTGAACGCGATCCGACTCAGAAACGCGATCCAAGGCTGAGCGCGATCCGACTCAGAACCGCGATCCGAATCAGGACCGTGATCCAAGGCTGACCGCGATCCAAGGCAGACCGCGATCCAAGGTAGACCGCGATCCGACTCAGAACCGCGATCCAAAGCTGAACGTGATCCGACTCAGAATCGCGATCGAAAGCTGAGCGCGATCCGACTTAGAACCGCGATCCGAATCAGAACCGCGATCCAAGGCTGAACGCGATCCAAGGTAGACCGCGATCCAAGGCTGAACGCGATCCAAGGTAGACCGCGATCCAAGGTAGACCGCGATCCAACTCAGAACCGCGATCCGACTCAGAATCGCGATCCAAGGTATAGCGCGATCCGACTCAAAACCGCGATCCGAAGTAGACCGCGATCCGACTCAGAACCGCGATCCAAGGTATAGCGCGATCCGACTCAAAACCGCGATCCGAATTAGAACCGCGATCCAAGGCTGAACGCGATCCAAGGTAGACCGCGATCCGACTTAGAACCGCGATCCGAATCAGGACCGCGATCCAAGGCTGAACGCGATCCAAGGTAAACTGCGATCCAAGGTAGACCGCGATCCGACTTAAAATCGCGATCCGAATCAGAACCGCGATCCAAGGTATAGCGCGATCCGACTCAGAATCGCGATACAACGTAGGTCCGCGATCCGACCTAGATCGCGACCCAACTCACAAGGATTACGCATTATGGATCGACCGCGATCCTGAGCTGATACGCGATCTGATTCGGATCGCGATCCAAAGATAAGGCAAGATCGCCGATGGATCGGGATGGCAAAGGCATTTGGGGTGGACCACATATCGAGATCTGATTTTTCCTGAAAGGGTGACACGTGGTGATAGATCCTGGACTACAGATAGGCAGAATTGTAGGTTTCGAGTTTTGATTGGTTAACACTAAACAGAGTTCAATTTTACTTCTAAGTACACGTGTCGACTTCTCTTCCGGGCTGGATTCTTTGGCCACCCGACGTCTCGAGGAAGCCTACACACTACGCAAGTCATATCCCTGGATTTTTTGGCCAGGGATTGCAAGAACTCTCAACACAACTCAACTGCGATCGGACGCAGATAAAACACGTAGGGCAAGGCGAAGCAAGTGCAGGACGGATCAAGTGGTCAGAAGGTTCTGCTCAAGTGGTCAGAAGATTCAAGCTTCGTTTTATTGGATAACCGTGATCGATTAGGAAGATCACACCAAGTACTCGGTTTATCTTGTGAAGATTTCCGCAAGATAACCAAACCCCCTATCCCTAACCCAATTAGGATCAACATCGACTCAAGTCCACCGAGAAGAGAGCAACCCGCCCTACCGACGGGTACACAAGGTGAGGAAGGCTTTATAAACGGAATCGGGGTACCCCCTCCGTTAGTCGGTCGTCCGGGCGCCAGTGGAGAGTTGGAATCGCATCAGCAATTTTGCGAATCCCACTCCACCACACTACGCCGCCCTTACTAGT